CAGAGACAGAAAGGCAGAGACAGAGAGGAGAGACAGACAGAGACAGAAAGGCAGAGACAGAGAGGAGAGACAGACAGAGACAGACAGAGACAGACAGAAAGGCAAAAAAAGAGAGAGAAAGAAAGATAAAAAGAGACACACAGAAAGAGACAGACAGACAGAGAAGGATTCGCCTCTGAGACTCCAGGCTGCTCTCAAAGGCTGTTAGTGACAGGGAAGGTGATGAGTAGCATTGGTAGAGTTCCCTGTGCCGACAAGATTCCAGGTCCAGACCAAAAAACCAAAGTCTGTGCTCTCATTGCTGAGCTTGGGTGAAAGGGGAGGAGAGAAAAGATGAAAAGACTTAAGCCAGGAACAATACATGCAAATGCAGCTCAGAGCACTAGGCTTCTTTCCTTCCTTCCCTCTTTTTTGTTTCTTTTCTTCTATTTTTCTTTCTTTCCTTCCTTCCTCTTTTCTTTCTCTTTTCTTCTTTCTTTCCTTCCTTTCTTATTTCTTTCTGTTCTTTCTCTCCCCCAGATATGGAGCTCCAAGTTTCCACATATAAATCTCAAAGATCTCAAATACCAGAAAGTCCCATCAGCAGCCAAAGGAATGCTGAGCTTCCTGGCATGCAGTAGGTACTTAATAAATGCTTCTGGAATGATTATTGGGTGATGGCTCATTCCTCTCCTGTCCAAGCTCCTCGGTGGCCACCCCCATCACTATTCCATCCACTCCCCTCCAACCAACGTGTACTTGCTAAGTGTCAAGCAGGGAGTCAGCCGACCGATAAGGCACCAGAGATGCTCGGAGAGCAAGGCCTCATCCCACTACTGACCTGTGCTGTCTGTGTCCTGCTTGCTGCTGCCCCCAGATGACAGCCCCGCTGGCCCTGGAGAGGCTGCCCAGAGAGAGGGACATGCAAAGCAGCAACTGACTTAGGCTCTGAGCAGAAGTCATCCCATACATTCCCTCCCACATCCCCAAACATAGCAGGGCTGCTACCATGCATGCAATCCCAGCAGTGCTGAGGAGCCCACCAAAGAAGAGCCCCGAGGACAGAAACTCGGTCAATGGTGGGGGGGATGTCACAGAAAGGCAGGTGTAGACCCAAGTCAGACTGCATCCTAATGAGGGCTGCCCAAAGGTGGCACAGGCTACCTTGGGAGGCACTAGGTCCCCCCTTCCTGGAATTCTTTAGGCACGGGCTGGACAGCCAGTTGACTGTGGGGAGACAAACCTTAAAGTACCCAAGAATCGTCTGTTGGACCGAGGATCCCAGGTCTAGACCCAAAGAGGACCTCAGAAGTCTCTGAGCCCACCTGCTTCATTTTACAGATGAGGAAGTGAAGTCCCAGGGAAGTGAAAACACTTTTCCAAGGTTGCAGAGGGGGCAAACATCAAAGGTGAGCTCAGACCCAGGTGCTCTGACCCAAAAGCAGATCAGCTCCTCAGACAACACCCTAGTCTCATCAAAGATGAGGACACAGATGATAAATAACAACCACCACCACAGCGGAGACTTGGTGGAAATGGCCCCAGCACAAGCTGGCAGCCGCCTTGTTTGCGGCTTGTTGTCACCGTGACTGTTGTAGGGGCATCCTTGCTCAGGGTGGGCCAGGTGACCTCCAGGTGCCTCCTACACTAAGACTCTTGGGAGCACCACGGGGCCGTCTCTGGAGACAGGAGGGTGGAAGCTTGGCCGGAGTCAGAGTCGGGGTGGGAGGGCTTCACTGTAAGCCACCGGACACAAGAGTGACCTCGATACAAAATGCTCCCCAAGGCAGGTGCTCCTTTCACCGGCACAGGAACAGATGGAGAGGGCTGTGCCTCTGAAAGACCTAGAGAGATCTGGGCTATTCTCATAATGGTGATGGGTCATGATCATCCATAATGCCCTAAAACATTAATACAGTCTTCGTGGGAGGCTGTGGCCACACAACTTCCTCTCCTGGGGGTCAGCTTTTTGGTGACAAACATCTGAGGAGCTGGGTTCAAATCCTCCCTCGGATATTTACTATCTCTGAGATCTTGGCAAGTGATTTACCTTCCCTGGATGCCAGTTCAAGGTCTATAAAAAAAGGAGATCAGACTGGACCGTCTCGGAGGGCCCTTCAGGCTCTAAGTGATCCTGTGATCCC